GGGTAGCACACTTCACTCTTTGTATTAGGAACACCTCACTCACAAGCACTCTCAAGAAGCCTTCTTGGTTCTTCACTCTCTTCTTCCTCCACACTCTATCCAAATGAGGCATCCACACCCCTATTTATACTCCTCACCAAGGCTAGGCTTCTCTAGAACATTCCACACACCTCTTTATCACTAGAATCTTGTAGAAAGCCTCCACATGCTTCCATAATGTTCTAGAAGAATCTAGAGGACTCCACATAGTTCTAGAATATTCTAGAGAACACTACATTCTTCCTCACGCTTCTAGAGACTTCCACACTTCTCTAGAAAGCTCTAGAATATTCTAGAAACTTTTAGGCTATTCTACACATTTCTAGAGACTTCCACACTTCTCTAGAAAACTCCACAACATTCTAGAGAATTCTACACATCTCCACCAACTTATAGAATTGTCTAGAATCTTCCCTCTCACAAATCTTTGGAAATATTGAATTAATATCCTAACATTTCCTCCCTTAATTCATATTTCCAAAGACCTTCACATCCTTCGAAAACTTCACTTTCTTCAGTGTAGTGCCGCTACTCTTTCTTTGCACGACTCTTCCATCCAAGATGCAAACGTTCTTCTCATTTTTGCATCCTCTCATGATCAAACGTCTCCCCTTGAACACCTTGCACCATTTGCTCGTGCCAAAGAACTTACACCCTTCTAATGTCATTTCACCCAATGATATGACATTAGTATTGCTAGTAGGCACATACCTCACATTATGAAGAATGTGGCTTGCACCATTGTGAAGCTTCATCCTCACGCTTCCGGTACCTTCGACCTTCAACTTCTCACCATTAGCCAAGTTGAAGTGACCAAATTCTCCATCAATCTTCAAGGTGTCGAACAAATCGTGATCTCGACATATATGCATCGAGGCAGCACTATCCATCACCCACTCAGACTTAGCAACCTCTTCACCCATTGCCAAGTACAAATCTCCATCATCAGCATCACCGACCACATTCGTGTGGAAGTCACCATCACCCTTCCTTTGTGACGTATCTTTCAACTTCTTCAAGTCCTCCCTCATTTGAGGACATCTTGCTTGCATGTGACCCTTCTCCCTACAATAGTAACATTCCACATCACTTAGATCTCGACGCACCTTAGACTTTAATCTCTCTCTAGGATCATCATGCCTCCTCGGTAAGTTCCTCCCTAGCCCACGCTCTCTTGCAACTAGTATGCGATCACCTCCTGTGTTGTTAGTGTCATTCCTCATCATCCTCTCACTCTCACGTAAAGCAGCAGTCACCTCATCAACCGTGAGAGTTGTTCTTCCTACAAGTAATGTCTGCACCAATGGCTTGTAGGACTTCGGTAATGATGCTAACAACAACAACGCCTGCTCCTCGTCTTTAATCTTGTCATCGGCATTCATCAGCTGGCATACTAGTTGATTAAACATGTTGATGTGGTCATGAAGATTACCTCCTTCTTCCATCTTGAGCGAGTACAACTCCATCTTTAAACACAACCGGTTCGTCAGCGACTTTGACGCATAGATGCTCTCGAGCTTATCCCACAACGCCTTTGGTGTGGTCTCCTTCAACACACTAAACTTAACCTCGGGAGCAAGTGCCAACCGGATAGTACTAACAGCTCTCCTCTGAATTTTACTCCACTCGCTCTCACTCATGGAGGTAGGCTTCTCCTCCTCTAGTGCTTGATCAAGACCTTGCTGCACCAATAGGTCTTGAATCGTACTCTGCCACAACGTAAAGTTTGTTTTCCCATCAAAGAGTGGAATCTCGAACATCTTCGGCACTCCTGTTGCCATCACTCCAACACGAGATCTTTAAAGCACACTCTACCCGTATCTCTACCTCCGTGAACCTT